ATTGTTTCAGTCGCAATTCTCAAAGCAACCTACTTGTGGAGGATACAGTGCTATGCAGGGCTTTCATTTGCTTTACTTGTGTAAAATTATGACTAATTTACACAAAGATCTCTTCAAACAGGTTTAGCAGTATTTAGGAAATTTGACTGCAATTTATTAGCTTGAAAAGTTAAGGTTTTATTAGTTTAGCTCTAAAATCTAACCTAGTAACTGTAACCTTTTGGTTTCCTGTTAAAATAATGTCAACACATGAAGAAAAAAAAAATACTGTACTGAAATTCTTTTATGGGATCTTAAAGGTATAGGTTACCCTAAAATAAAAGTTCTGTAAGCGTTTACTAACCCTTGTAATTAAAAGATGGTATGACCAAACCTAGTGCTTTTTTTTCTGACTGTCAATCAATCAATCAATCAATCTTTTTTCTTCCAAAAAAAACTTATTTTGTCAGAAGAACACAATGCATATAGGTTTGATGATCACATCATCAAAGGAACTATTCCTTTAAGAGTATTTTAGCAGAATTCAAATAGTCTCCATTGTTATTAAATTATTTCAGCTTTCAAAACTCATACCATCAAGAGGTACATATTAAAAGCTATTATGGCAATTAGAGAGACATGAGTCTTACAGAGATTAAATTTGCCATAAAGATGGTAGAACTACATGTATTAATTGCTATCTAAATGCTGAAATATTCAAATTAATCTTGCATAAATAGAGCACAGTGCTCTTAAACACGTCATCCTAAAAGCAAATGGGATGTTGGGTTACTAATTATTAGTCTTAATTGCAGCCGTCATAAGTTCCACAATGAAGTGTGAATACAGCTCAATCTTGTTTGGGCCTAGAGTGGAGTGAAATTTAATTGGTTGCAGCTGTGCTGAGTGCCAGTTACAGTGATGAATCCTATGACATGACTGGCACAACTGTGTACATTTCATCCCTTAAGTATTCCCTCTCCAGCTTGTGCTGATAGCAAGTCTTTGATATCACAAGGCCAAGCTGGCCATATTATTTTCATCATTTGAAATGACTAATTGCTCATTTAGCCTTAATCTAATAGCATAGTACAAGTTGCCAATCTAAATACATGCAAACATATTTATGACTTATTTTTCTTCTTTTTTTGATATCTTCAAAGTAAAACATCTGCAAGAACATGACACAATATACACTGTCAGAAAATGATGACTAAAGCAAATGGTTTTCTGGTATTGTGCCAGTCTTTACTCAGGCTGTGTAAACAGTTGCCACCAATAGTTAACAGAAGTTTCATTTCACACTATAAACAATTTTTTCTTCCTAATGAAATCTTAAATACAGTCATCGCTAAAACCTCTCAAGGCCTTATAATAGCTTTCAGAAGTTCCAGTAGAAAAAGTTGTTGTATTTAAAGCAATTATTATTATGTATCAATAGTTAAATAGTTTCACCTGCACAGTCTGGCTATGGCCAAATAAAAAAGACAAGGCTAAGCTGGAGAATTATTCCTGTGTACTTTTTACTGGCAATAAAACATTTAAGGATGTGCTTCAAGGTCCTCATCAGCAATGCAGGGTATAGTTCGGCTCAATAGACCAAATCTTCTATCATGACCTCTGCTTAGCAGTTTGTACAAGACACAGCAAGGAGCACAAGATTCTAATAGTGCTCAGTGAGTCTCTGGAAACAACACTCAATTTCCTAACAAATATATGCATACAAAACAAAAGTAAAATATTTAGATACAAACACAAACAATGTGCTAAAAATGAATCGTCTGTAATTCAAATCTCTTCTAAGAGTAAATAAAACATCTGCCCTTTGCCACTCAATTCTACCAAGAGACAGACAACAAACATTTCAATATCGAGAGCTCCATCACTGATGCAACAGTGCCCTCCCAGCTTAGCAGGGGGCTCAGATGGAGAGAGAATGTTTTAACACAATGTATCAAGGCACAGATAGCAGGGCAAGGCAATGCTGAAGATGGGCCTGTCAGTCATCTTGCTGTCTGCTTCCAGCCATGATCATTAGAGGAAATCAAACACCCGAAATACACTAAGATGAATACCATAATGGAGTTGTCCTCTTTGTAGTCACATCCAACCAAAAAAGAGCCTTCATCTAAGTTAGAGGGGTATTTGGCAGAAAACACTGCAGGAACATTGTTCATACGAAAATATATCTGGACAGCCAGATAGCTAGAAAGACAGATTCCCTTCCCGTTCTTGTTTTTTTATTCTACCTTACTAATGTTTTACTTCATTTCCAAGAACTTCAAAGCATTGGGTTGCTATGCAATGTTATTATTTATTTAGCTTTTTTGATACAGGGTCCATTTTACACTGGGCTGAATTTACTCTAGCTTTGATGGTCATTTCTGCTCCATTACAACCAATGAAACACAGCAAGATTAAAACCACCATCTATATGCATCATTTATTATTGCAGAATCAAAACCTCCAAACGCTGCTGTCGTCATATCACAAAGGATTCTGAGAACGAAGGAAATCAGAAAGAAAAGGCCTTTGAGTACTAGAGGAATGTTGCACAAAAGTAATCAACAAATTCTTAATTTGAGCATATTTGTAACAGCGTTTGCATGCAAGAAAACTCAATTTGTAGGGTAATGCATTCAGGTGTGTGTTGACATTGCCAAAACAGCTAAATCTATTAACCTTCATGCCAAAGTGAAGGTGTGCGTCAAAACCTGTGAGCTCACATTATAACAAACAACTCGTCAAGCAGGAGTCCATTGCACATATACAAACCTCCTTCAGAGGACTTTTGATAAAACATACCACAGCTCAATTTTAAAAGGCTAGAGGAAAAACAACTATCATCCTCTTTCTACAGCATTAAGATTTTTTTAAAAGAGGATAAATCTAGCTGTGAAGCTAGGCATGTTTCAACAGTCAACAGAGCAATAGGTTGACAGCTGTCCCCAAAGCTTTGCAAACTGGAAACAAACATGAACTGGAATATTTAAAGATGATGACATCTGTGCTTGCTCATGAATATGACTGCTTGAGAACTGTATGGCAAACAAGAAGCAATGTCTCTGTGGTTAGTCAACCTCATATCACGTATTCAAGCATTTCAGGTGAAACATATGCTATGACACAAGACAGGTGTAAAATATTATGGATTCCACCTCTCAGGAATAAACAGCACTGATCACTCATATCAGTGTTTTCTTCACTAACTCACTAACTAACTAAGATATAGGACCATGTTAATATCAGAATCAGAAGAGCTTTATTACCAAGTATGTTTACACACACAAGGAATTTGACTTGACGACAGGAGCTTCCAGTGTAGAAGAAAGTACAAACATAGTGCAGACATACATGATAGTGCAGACATATAGGAATAACACAGTAGGGATGTAATATAAAACTAATATATATATATATAAAAAAAAATAAAAATAATGTACTATATACCAAATAGAAGTATAGGAAAAAAAATGTAATTGTTTAGATAAATGTACAGATATGTTATTAGTGTGCAGATATGTTATTTACAAAGTAATATGTAATCAATGCTACTAAAACATTTGTTGTTAAATACTTATATAAAATAATTTAGCACCAACATATGTTTGCAAATTTCGATTTTTAATTTTCCAATATTTAAGTCCGACCAAAAACAAACAAATAAATAAATAAACAAACATATGAAACATATGAAAACTACTGTCTTCATATATGAGGTGAAAGTGGTGTCGGCCGCTAGGTGTCAGCCTTGTGACTTTAAACACGATTTACTCTCAACATGCTTGTCATGTGTGCTCATGACTCCTGACTCTGCGTGTTCACGAGCTAGATACAGAGGAATTTAAAAATATAAAAACGGCGCAATATGACCTATGTTATACTGACGAGGAATATTCAGTAATGACAGAAAACGTGCAATGATGATGATGATGATGATATTAATAATAATAATAAATTATTATTATTATTGCCTCAATCTCATAGCATTTCATATCCCGTTACGCCCGAGCGCGCCTCTATTTCTGTCTCTCTCTGTGTTTGCGAGAGAGAGAGAGAGAGAGAGAGAGAGAGAGAGAGAGATTGATATGTTATGGTCGTCATCTATAATGGGAGCGAAAGGCGCAGATCCAAACGCAAACAGTAGTGTTTATATTGTGCTCCCATTCATAGGCATGTATGTCATTAATATTTCTTAACACAGCTACTGTCAATAAAGAACATATTTAATCACTAGAACTAGAGCAACACGTGAATAACCTTTATATCTTATTAAATATAGTACAGACAAGTAAATACGTACTTGCCGAAAGTAACCGTGTTGGGCGTATAGGCTTAACGTGGATAATAGGCTACTCAGATATGACGGATCTGAAATTAGGCAGCAACATTCATATTTCTATAAAAAAATTAAATAAATAAAAAATAAAACTATTCTGTGTGCGATCCTTTCTGCCAGCGGATTAAATAGTCTATAGCTGCACCCAGTGGGCTAGGGTCAAGAAAATATCAACTTAATTTTGAATACATTGATTATAAAACATTAAACCTGTCATCATCGTTGCCCTATTCTAAATTAGGGTCAATTTAAATCAAGACCAAATTCGCAAAACAAGTAGGCTAAAATAATGTCAGTATTTGTTTATTTATCAATTATGGATTTATATGTTTAAAAAATATATGTAACAAGAACTTAGTGTTTTGTTTAAAAAATACACTATATGTGCTATGTGAACCTCAACTAATTGCGCCCCCAACATTTCTTAAGGAAATTCCTTATAAAACGTTGACCCTCCCAAAAGTCAATAATTGTATTGACACACTGTATGTTCAGACATAACTAGAACGGTTAACATACGCTGTGCGTTGCATGAACTGGTGCTAGTTGGCCGAGTTCATAGCTGTAGTTTTGCCCCACCCACCAGCAAATCCAGCTTTCCAGTGTAACCTCTGATTGGCTGTGGGGATTGCGGGTCCTGAGACTGAGCGCGAGACACTGAGACAGTATGCGCTGAAGACGCGCGCCTTGCGTTTACCTCGGTGAGCTGCATTTAAGAACTATATCAAGAACTATTTCGCTTCATCCAACAGGCTGGATATTTCAGACCAGACGCTTTTATTACGGCGAGAAGAGCCCAGGTGCACTTACAAATGCTTGATTTTTCTTCATTGTTCTTTTCTCAGTGTTTTATACGGATTTAGTTTCATTCTTTCTGGACTAAGGCCACCTGAAATACCTTCATACAATTCACGCTTGTTGAGAGAAATCTTCAGTGGACAAGGCACCCACCTCTTTCTTGCTCGACTGGGAATATCAGTGAATTGTGGACTAGACTGATATTTTATTAATATTGGTTTGCCATCATTGTTCCAGCTTCAGAGATCGGACTGTTTCTTTTTTTTTTCTTCTGAAACTGGAATCTCTGTGGTTTCAGTTGGATATGTGCATGGACGTGCGGATCAAGGAGGAGACATCCTAACTCCACATTATTATATGGATTGATTGGGCACGAGCGATGTTTTAAACTCAATTTCATTTCAAGTGTTCGTCGGGAATCATGATAAGGAGGGCACATTTTTTGAATTGGATCCTTCATTCATTCACAAGTTGAGGACCTTCTAGCGGACATCTAGCCTATACATTTTTACTGAATATTTTCTTTCACTGGCTCAAAATGGTCGGTTTACATCTCGGTTACCCTGAGCTACGCAAATGTTCATGTTGAAGCCATGTTGTTCGTTCACAATGTTTTCACATTCACTATATGAAGAATTATTCACTAGTTTTATTTATATTTCTTTTTCCAACAATAATGCAAGACATGGGTGGCCTGATAAGATCTCGATAAAGTAAATGGAAGTTATCAGCTGCGTAATCAGTAAATCAGATGAATTTAATCGCAGATATAAACATTTTCGTTCATTTTAAAGGATGTCTACCAGACTGTGATTTTATTCCTTTGACTTATTTCTTTTTTTTTACGTCCGACCGAACGTGCGTATGTTTAAATGTTAATAAAAGATCATGCAAATGAGCGTGTGAAGACAGACATCAACAGGTATAATGCATTCCAAGGACATGGATTTCATACAAATGTTTTTGTGTTTTCTCTTGTGCTGGACTGGAGTCGATGCCGTTTTCAATTTGAAATACACAGTGGAAGAAGAGCTGCGTGCAGGCACAAAGATAGCCAACGTGACGGCGGACGCAAAAGTTGCGGGTTTTGCACTGGGAAACCGACAGCCTTATTTGCGGGTTATCTCCAATTCCGAGCCCCGGTGGGTTAATCTGAGCCCCGCCGGACTGCTCATCACAAAGCAAAAAATTGATCGGGACGCTGTTTGCCGACAGACACCTAAGTGTTTTATTTCTTTGGAAGTGATGTCGAACTCGATGGAGATCTGCGTGATTAAAATTGAGATTATCGACGTAAACGACAACGCGCCGCGCTTCCCCACTAACCACATCGACATAGAAATCTCGGAAAATGCCGCTCCCGGTACCAGATTTCCCCTAGAGGGGGCAAGCGATCCGGACTCTGGGAGCAACGGCATTCAGACGTACACAATTACCCCTAATGATATTTTCGGTCTTGAGATTAAGACGAGGGGAGACGGGTCCAAAATCGCAGAACTTGTGGTGGAAAAGACTTTAGACAGAGAGACGCAGTCTCGTTACACGTTTGAACTTACAGCGGAGGATGGTGGAGACCCCCCAAAGTCCGGGACTGTGCAACTTAACATAAAAGTAATTGACTCGAACGATAACAACCCCGTTTTCGATGAGCCAGTATACACTGTAAACCTGCTGGAGAATTCTCCCATTAACACGTTAGTCATAGACTTGAACGCTACGGACCCAGACGAAGGAACCAATGGCGAGGTGATCTACTCATTCATAAACTTTGTCTCCAACCTGACCAAACAAATGTTTAAAATCGACCTCAAAACAGGCGTGATAACAGTGAATGGCGTTTTGGACCACGAGGAATTGTCCGTCCACGAAATTGATGTACAAGCCAAAGATCTGGGTCCAAATTCAATCCCTGCCCACTGCAAAGTGATTGTTAATGTAATCGACATAAACGACAACGCGCCAGAAATCAAACTGTTGTCAGAAAACAGCGAGATGGTGGAGGTGAGCGAAAACGCTCCTCTCGGATATGTAATAGCTCTGGTGAGAGTCTCAGACAGTGATTCGGGAGCGAATGGAAAAGTGCAGTGCAGACTGCAGGGCAATGTGCCTTTTAGCCTCAACGAGTTTGAGAGCTTCTCCACCTTACTTGTTGATGGCCGTCTGGATAGGGAGCAGAGAGACATGTACAATTTGACCATTCTAGCCGAGGACAGCGGGTATACCCCGCTCAGAAGCTCAAAATCTTTTGCAGTGAAAGTAACGGATGAAAACGACAATCCCCCGTACTTCACCAAGCCGCATTATCAAGCCATGGTCCTCGAAAATAACGTCCCAGGTGCGTTTCTGCTGGCGGTGTCCGCCAGGGACCCTGACCTGGGCATGAACGGCACTGTGTCCTACGAAATCATCAAATCGGAGGTGCGGGGCATGTCTGTGGAATCTTACGTTACCGTGAACTCAAACGGCGAAATCTACGGCGTTAGGGCTTTTAATCACGAAGATACGCGGACCTTTGAGTTTAAAGTCACTGCAAAGGATGGGGGAGATCCACCTTTGACCAGCAACGCCACCGTGCGCATTGTTGTACTGGATGTAAATGACAATACACCTGTGATGACCACCCCGCCCCTGGTGAACGGCACGGCGGAGGTGTCCATTCCTAAAAATGCTGGAGTTGGTTATCTGGTTACACAAATAAAAGCTGATGATTACGATGAGGGGGAAAATGGAAGGTTAACCTATTCAATTTCAGAAGGAGACATGGCATACTTTGAAATAGATCCGATAAACGGCGAGGTGCGAACCACAAAGACGTTTGCGGAGAATGCGAAACCATCCTATCAAATAACCGTGGTGGCGCACGACCACGGCCAAACTTCTCTATCTGCCTCTGCCTATATTGTCATTTATCTCTCTCCTAATCTCAATGCACAGGAGCAAATCGGACCCGTCAACCTGTCTCTCATTTTCATCATTGCCCTGGGTTCTATTGCAGTTATCCTGTTTGTCACAATGATCTTTGTGGCAGTCAAGTGCAAAAGGGATAACAAGGAAATCCGAACATACAACTGCAGGTACCCAAACAATTTTTGATACAATTTATTGAAGTTACACACAGCCTAGTTCAGCGTGCGAATTATATACTGACCTTCGGATGGGACGAATATTTAAAGGTAACCACAAAAACGAAATAGAATCAACAAAAGGCCTAACCATAGAAGTCAGATTGCGCTAAACACTTGCTCACGAACAGAAATTGCGTTGGCCTGAGGTGGTAACCATAGCAACAGTACGTTACTCGAGATCTCAACGTTATGGTCAGTATGGAATATAGACAAAACATAATAAGGCCTACTGTTTGTTGTATCACATTTAACATTAGCAACCTTATCGATGATTATTTACGTCATAAAAAACAACAACAAAAAGGTTGTTTTTAACTCATTTTAAGTAGTCGAGTTTAGTTTAGGGGCACCAAAGAACAATTTCTGTTGTGAGACAAACTAACCTCCAATCAATTGTCAAAAATTACTGACAGAAATTTCCTCAACATTGTCTTAGAGAAAATATGTAAAAATGTGTGTAAATGTAAAACTATATAGGCCTAGAAATATTTTTTTTTTTACTTGTGGGTGTTCAGGCCTTACTTGTCAGGTCAGACCTCACCAACCCTTCCATAATTCGCACCCTGGTCTAGTTATCAAGCATATAATTGTATTTCTACCGGAAATGAATCAATACTCACACAACATACAATGATTAAGACATAAAGATAGAGCATGTTTGATGTGTATCTTGGTTGTGCACGTGCTGTGTCGTCAACTGTGCATGTGCTTCAGGCCTTGCTCTGCTGTTGCCATTGCTGATAACAGAAGTAAGCATAACAGGAAATCATTATTACACTTGTTCATCATGATTATTATATTTACACTATTGTAAATATTACTAAAACGATAACATTTTCTTTTTATTAATCAATTATGATGCTATATATGAGGACAGCCTCACATGAGCTTAAAATAAAAATATGACAAAAAACAAACTAATAAATAGCAGATATAATAGCAAAACCAAAACAAATATTACAGCACATTTTTTGTCATCATCTTTGTTTCCAGCAATCCCAAAGTAAATTGTCATTCTTATTTGATTTTGAGTTTGATTTTGAAAAAAGTAAACAAGAGAAAAATAAAGCGAAATGATAGTCATCTAAGGTAAGTAAAATCAACGTGTACCATTGCCTTTACTTGGTGACTGAAGGGTAAGCATAGGCCTTTCCTCATACACACCATCTGCATTGAGACTGGTGTTTGCATAAATTATTGGTGAAATGTTATGCCCTTTAGGTCCTCTCTTTTGATTCCAATCAAAATATTGACTTGTTGGTCACATTTGGAGATTTTATTTATGGTTTGGCAACATATTATGTTTGTGATCGTAGAGGTCATTGTATCAAAATACAATAGCATGGCCATAGCAACCACATGTTACTGTGGCAGCGATCATATAATAATAATTACACTCATAAAAGGTAAATCATGCAAATGTTTGGCATGGTAATAGTCTTTGACACATGGTGTGTAGGGGAGAATATTATTTTGTTAATCTACTGCAATATGAATACTTATCAATCTGTAACATTGGCCACTGTGTTGATTTCCCTCTGCTACATTACCACTCAATATTTCCATATAAACTGCTTTTGCAAATTTAACCAGAAAACATTGCCATATTTTTACCTCAAATTATTGTTGACGTTTCTGTCTTGTAATGCAACAGCATACATGATCCACCTTAACAGAAATGTATGCAAGTTAACATTTTCATGAAGGCTAGATCGTGATAGTGATGGTTTGGCACGCAGAGCATCTACCTTGCCGTGATCGGAAGATGGCTAGAGATGGCCTGTGTTTAGATTGCTGTCGTTAACATTTATTTTCCTCTCCAGATAGACACCTGATGGAGGCTTTCAGCTCTCCCAACAAGGGGTTAGTGAGAGTGCTTGATACGGTTTTCTTCAGCTGTGCTCATTGACTCTTCTTTCTGGCTCATCTGAGATTCTTTGGATTGTCTTCACTGTGACGAGAGCCAAACAGATATGACCAAACAGACCATAGAGACATGTGTTTATTAACACAGTTAAATAAAAGACACTGCTGCTGTTGCAGTTTACAGAACAAAAACAAATGGTTTAATAAAAGAACACAGACAATGGCATCTGATATTATTAATTACAATAATTATCTTCATACATACATAGAGCCTTTATAAAGTAATCACTCTGAATCTCTTCTCACATATTCGCAATCTGTTTTGTCACTATCTCTTTACCAGAAAAAAAAAGCTCACTATTCCTTTAATGCCATAACAGTAAATTTTTCAACCAGCTATTAAGCATGCTTTGGAGTGCCTAACTTTTTTTCTGTGCTTTAACTCGCACAGAGAAAAAAAGCTTTTAGATGCCTCCTAAAAAGATAAGGTCCTGCACCGTTATCATTTTTCCGAGCCAGAAAAAAAGTAAGGAGCAGGGAGACACAGGCTGAATCCAAATGAAAAGCACAGAAATAGGAGCTTTGTGTTGTGCAGGCAGAGCGAGCATACCATTAAGCCAAAGCCGTACGTTACGACGAATGTGTGCCCTTCAGAGGACATAAAAAGAAATAAGTGTAAGATTGTTTCAGGCTATAAGATCTAATGATCCTCATGGGAAAAAGTGAGAGGGGTCAGTGGGGAATAGCTAAGACAAAGATTGTTTACTACACCAACTCTTCTTATGAGCGCTCAAGTTTATGTTTAGATTGCAACCTAAGCATCCTTTGGGGCAAGATCTCAAAGTTTCTCATTTACTATGATTAGAATCAAAACCCTCAAATCAGGTTAGCAGTAGCCACAGAGCGTAGCTCAGAGAATTGAAAATCACAACCCACCTGCCAGCGGGCTTGTTTGTAACACAAGCGAAAAAAAGCAGATAAATGCGGGCTTAACTTTGAATATAATAATTTATGCTCGCAGTGACGCTTAGTATCATTTGTCGCTGTGTGTGCTTCTGTGGTTTGGCATGTTTGCATTGTGCATGTGTGTTTGTGACAAGTCGAGCCGCCGAGCATGGAAATGCAAACAAATGAGGGACGTCGGCTCCATTGGCGGCCAGAGGTCGCTCGAATGTGGCCGCTCTCTCTTGTGCCACCATTAAATATGGGTCTGGCACCTCAGCCCGAGCCAGGCAAGGACCTGGCACCGGCTGTGCGAGTAGTGAGGAAGGCAGAGCACTGCTTTATTGAGTCTGTTCAGTTTCTTGTACCTGCGCAGGGTGGCGGAGTACTCCTATGGCAACCAGAAGTCCAGCAAGAAGAAGAAGCTGAGCAAGAACGACATCCGCCTGGTGCCGCGGGACGTGGAGGAGACGGACAAGATGAATGTGGTGAGTTGCTCGTCTCTCACCTCTTCGCTCAACTACTTCGACTACCACCAGCAGACTCTGCCGCTGGGCTGCAGGCGCTCCGAGAGCACCTTCCTCAACGTGGAGAACCAGAACTCCAGGAATGCTGCACCCAACCATGGCTACCACCATACCTTCACAGGGCAGGGCCCTCAGCAGCCTGACCTCATCATCAACGGCATGCCGCTGCCTGAGGTGAGATTTGCTCCAGTCTGCTCCATCCTTCAGCCTGCCATGGCTACCAGCGGCAAGGGAGGGTGGGGTCGGGGGAGATCCGCCACAGGGCCACTAACCCAACTTAGTCAGAAACATTAAATCTGCTTACAGATTGCTAGCTGTTACTTTTACTTGAGTTTGGGTACTTTGTGGTTGTTTTTTTTTACTGCAAAATAGGAAAGTGGAAATATGGTTTCTTTTGAATAAGCCTTCAATGGTGCTTACATATCATGCATTATTCGTCGGTGTTGGAAACCTAAGTATAGTTATATTAAAAAAGTGAGCAAGCCGTCACTGGACAGTTGCCAAAGTGGATTATTTGACCACCTCTGTTTCTGCTCTCTCTTTTTCATGCTGAGCAAAAGAGCTGTAGCCTGAACATCTGCCAAATGTACTGACCTGGCTAATCGGCAGCGCTGCATGTAATTTCAAGTGCAGCCATTAAGAACAATCATTGCCGAAACAACAAGTTCTCGATCTCCATGGGTGGCATGCAATGGCTTGTGATGGATATCTGAAATGAAAAGGCAAAGTTACATCTGTTTGCAATAGAGTTACAGTACGCACATCATAAGCAGGCTTTATTGCGATGACAGGGTAATCAACAGTGACGTAATCAACCAATCACAACAACCAATCAGGTTACTTTAAGACCTCAGTGGCAGTGCAATGACAAAGTAGACACTATGTAAACTTTTTATAATGCATCATATTTTTTTAATGATAAACATTTTTCAGGTTCTGCAAAAGAATGATGATTTATCGTGGTAGAGCATTGCGTTAGCAACGCAAAAGGTCGTGGGTTCGATTCCCAGGGAACACACATACTGGTAAACAATGTATAGCCTGAATGCACTGTAAGTCGCTTTGGATAAAAGCGTCTGCTAAATGCATAAATTATTAAATATAATTAAATTATTTGGTATTGCCCTGTTTAAGCTCTGATTATTTACACATATTTCACAAGAAAATTAATGAATAAATAAAATAAAATTTACACAACTGATTCTTAGTTCTTATGATAATGTAGCTTCCTCAGTGTAAAAGTGAAGTGTAAACTGTTGAAAAGGATAATCGGTTTAACTTACTATTTAGCCTTTTGGGAATTAAAATGTAAATGTGTACTTCGTGTAAGTCATACCAAATGTATAAATGCAAATGTGTAAACATCTAACACAACTTATGAAGGGTAGAACTAAATAATAAAGACTTTGCATTTATATATATTTTGCAAGGGGTATGCAAACTTATGCACTCAACTGTATTGTAGTGTCAACTTGTAGTGTCAGTTATAGTGGTATGGCTGTTTGAATTGTCAGGTGGTACACAAACAGACTGAGCACACATGAGGAGTTTCACTGCTGGCAAAATGAGATGTCAAATTTGCACCGAACCATTGATTGGCTGATCTAGCACTCTTCGTTGTTTGTAAAGCCTGTGGAAATCAATGAAACACAGTTAATATAGCACTAATATATTGAAGCACCAGATGCTCAAAGTCGTATTGGAGATATTTAAAATCCAACTAGTTCATGGAGGAATATTCAGACAGAAAACATAATCTAGTTGGCCAGACTACACAGAGGTTAAGACAAGACTTAAAGCTGCACACTGGCTGGACAAAGGAATTACAGTGTGTAACAGCAAATGTAGTAGCTAGGCATGGTAGCGTAATCCTTTAATAAAACTACCTAAGCAGCAGGATTAAAGAACATCTATTTTCCTCAACTGATGAAAAGACAAAGAATTAAGGGAGGGTGGTGGCGTGGGTTGAATAAGCCTGTAGATTGAGTGTGGTAGTACAGTGAACTCTAATGCAAAGCTTTGTTGTTTACTGCAGCATTAGAAGAGGGAGAGAGAGAGAGAGACGGTGTATATATGCATCTTAATGTCAGATGTCTGGGCCCAGCACATTTTCCAATTTCATATAGGTGAGTGATTGGCCTGATAAAGGTGTGGGTTAATTTGTCATGAACCTGATATTGACAAACATCTCTTTGACCACATTTCTATGCAAGCATATAGGTAGCGAAATTCAATTTAAAATGCAATATGCAGAAAATGCAATCCTAAGTGTTCTAACTGTTAGTCTAAATGCATTTAGGACAAATAGCATTTAAATGATCATTATGCTACCATTTCTGCTTGGACATGTTACACATATCAAATCAGTTTGTGTTATACATTTTCATTTTCATTTCGCAACTTATAAAGCGTTCAAATTTGCATGCAATTTACATATTAAGACTACTGTTGGAAATGGCAAATGTAAATTATATAATTTAATTTAGATTTTACTTTTGCACCAAACTTTGCACGTATGGGTAATGGAAAATGTAAATTTAAATACAGAAATACAATGCCATTTCGAATATTGCATTTTAAATTGAATTTCGCTACCTATATGCTTCCATACATTTCAGCATATTTCTCCATCAGAGGCCAAAGATGGGCTGACTACAGTCGGCCATATTCCTTTCCCCTTTGGTGTGACATTTACAAAATAAAGTGGCTCCCCATTCAACATGCTGTATATGAAAAATGTTGTCAGTGTAATTACGCAACCATTTATGTGGGGCACAATCAAACATTGCAGCTGTTAAATGACCGATAATAGCTCTGTCACACATTACGAGTCTGGGCTTGTAAGCGTTTGACTCTACAAGTCAGGGTTTCCCAGAGGTCTGCTAAGGACAAACTGGTTGGTACACAGTAGTTATTAACCGTGCATCTCCTTGCCCTGAAATATCAAGGCCTGAGGGCTGTTTTCCAGCATTTTATGATTCAGACATGATTTTGAGATGTGGTTTGTTTGTTTACTTTACAGTCCCAGTTGGAGCTTTTACTCGGAAAATGTATGTTTGGAAGAGTGCTATGCCAATTTTTCCTGCAGGAGAAGAAATGTTGCAGAGTTTTGATTAAAATTACACACTGATGGCTTATTGATAATGAAACTAATCTGATAATCTAGAAAGTAGATGTACAACATTTTATCTTACTGATAACATGCTTTTGTGTGAACACACAGAGCCCTGCACAACAGCAGTGGAAGATACACCTTTTATCTAGAGCCACCAGTGAACCAGACACATAACAAGGTTGAAAACTATTGTCCGAGATTTATATTTATTAATTTAGCAGACATTTTTATCTAAAGTGATTTACAAATAATAAAGATAGACTAAAAATAAATAAAATAACAAAAATAAATAAACCTGGTAAAAGATAAAAGATGAGTTGTTTAGGGGGAAAATATACTTTTTAAAAATTAATTTATTATTGCAGATGTGCTACAAAATAGTTGAGGACAAGGAATTATCCTGGTTAACGTTCACACATGCACAAAACTTATGGACATAAGATCAGCATAGAATATGCAACATTAAAAACATTTACAATTCATTGACTCATCCTCCAGTACTCGACTGATGGATTTAAAATGTTTCAGAGACACCAGATTATGTAGCTTATTAATGCTAATGTAAAGCCATTTATTAATGCTAATGTGCTACAAAACATGCAGGACAGAGGATGAAAGATGCATAGACAAGAACTAATAAAAAATATTTATGAAAAAAAGTTAATTTTCAAATGCTAATATATAAACAATAAAGTAAAATATATAAAGTGATAACAGTAATTTGTATTTCAAGGCTCCAGGTAAGCTCAGTGTTTATGATACTGACTTCCTGGAGATGGTTCTGTGGTGCCAGTCTCTTGAGGAGTCAGGTGCACTGTTTTCTGAAAGCCGTGTGGTTAACCTGTCTGTGATTGTCTCCAAAATAAGGTTCAGGCCGTAATAGAGATGTGGCTTTCTAGCCGATTATACAAGATCAGTAGCGATTCTTGCAGCATAAGCATACATGACAGCCTGCTTAAACTAAAATGAGGCTTCGCTGCACCTGTGACATTGATAATAAGCTAAAATTCTACCAAGTATTGATCTGCTTTGCGTTAGTGCTTGGAGAAAGTCACCTGATACGTTATGCATTGTAGTTCCCTATAAAAGATGAATGTTTTAAGGAGTGTGTGAAAAAGAAAACTTTACTATTTGTATTTTCTGTCAGAGAAAACCCCTCTCCAGTTTTGGAACAATAATTTAAGCACTGCTCATCCAGATGCTAGCATTCTGTTACCAAAGAAATTAGCTCATAAATCCCACTGCTAGCATATGGTACTCAGATACAGTTTAATATTTGAGATCAGCCTGTCAATAAGGATCTGTATATTTGTTTAGATTAATCTCATATGTACCACAGTGATACAGACATATACACATAAGAGTTGGCTTTTCATTATAATGAAACAAAGCTTTGTGTTGATATTATGTTAGCCCTATTCTCCAGGGTGTCAAACTAATCTGTAGTATTCATCATGCACTTAAAGATTCACAATAAGGCTTCTCTGCACGAGACACATTTCCATGTCATTTTCAGTATACAAAGCAATGTCATGCCACATAAACACAATATACATTTGCTTGATCTGCTGCCAATCATTTCAGCCACTTAGGTCTTTGTCTAATGTTTAGACTCCATCTTCTGAAAGAGTGGCTGTTGAATACATTAGCCCTTCATTAATGTAGTTAAACCTTTGTTGGAGAACTTTTTGTTTGCCAAAGCTACATTGTCTGTTGTTTTCATACCACTAATTGCAGTTACCATGTATATTTTCATGTTTGCATGTTTATAATAGCCCTGCAGTCCTGAAACATCACGCAACAATTTTAACTTCTTCTCATTCGGTTGTTTTGTAGCACAAAATGTTTTTTTTTTTTTTTTTAATCATTTGTTTCACCTTTCAGGTCAGGGTTTTGAAAATGCTTTGACTTTACTGAACCACTGTTTTTTGTTTGTTTGTTTGTTTCTCTGACTTTCGTCAGACTAAGCCAATTAATCATTCTAAATCATTATTGACACACTATTTTCCTAATTAATGCTGTACAGTTACTTTGACACAATCTGTATTGTTAAAAGCGC